CCGTCTGCCCCGTCCACTCACTGGAAGGATGGAAGAGAAGACCACCTGTGCGCCCATCTCCCTCAGCACGCCCCCCAGAGCTCAGTAATCTTCCATCAGGCGATTGGGGCTCCTCCTGGCCGCATCATTTGTGCATTAGACAATTAGACAATTCTGTTATCTACCAGGCAGAACATTGTTACAATGGCCTGTTTAATTAAAAACATGGAAATCACTTAAAGTGAGGACCAAGATTTTGGCTTACTAAAAGAAACATATAAATGCTAAACCATGATGTGGTACCTCAGTGAAAGATGACTTTAGGCCACTATTGGGTGTTTATAGACATGCTCCAGGAGTGCGGGGGAACATTTTAGAGCGGCTCCAGTAGCCACTGTAATGAAAGTGCTTGGAGCGTCACGTGTATCAGCATCCCTGCACTGAACAATGGCAGCAGGGACATTGTCTAACAAGCTTTAGTTAAAGTGCCCCCACCACTATTTTTTCAACAGGGGGATGCTGATACGAGATGCTGGAATCTGCTGGAGTGCAGGCTTGATCAAGACATGCTAGAAGATCTGGTCGTCACACCGGATGACAAAGCTAACCTATTTAACAACTTCTTTGCCTCCATTTTCCTGAGCAGGGACTGGATCAGCCCCACCCACCAGACCCCCCTTAGGCTTCAGAGGAGGCGCACCTAAGCCAAGGGTCAGGGAGTAGCTAGTCAGGGAACTTCTGGAGGGACTGGATGTATTTAAATCAGCTGGTCCTGATGATCTCCACCCCAGAGTACTGAGGGAATTAGCTGAGGTCATTGCGGGACCCCTGGCATGGCTTTACGAGCACTCGTGGTGCTCTGGTGTGGTGCCAGAGGACTGGAAAAGGGCCAATGTGGTTCCCATCTTCAAAAAGGGGAGGAAGGGAGGACCCGGGAAACTATAGGCCAGTTAGTCTTACCTCGATCCTGGGTAAGCTTTCTGAGAGAATTATTCTGGCACATGTCCATGAGGGGCCAGTGGAGGAGGTTATGCTTAGGGGCAACCAACATGAGTTCATTAGAGGCAGGTCCTGTCAGACCAACCTGGTGCCCTTCTATGAGCAGGTCACCAAATCCTGAGATGCAGGGGTAGCAGTGGACATAGT